AAATTGATTCTATTAATTTCGCACTAATTAATAGCAACTTCTACTTATTATGAATGAAAGCCTGCTTCTCTCAATCTGCATAATACAAAAATAAATCAAAATTTGATTTTTACTATTACAATAATTAGAGTTTTGTAAACTTATAAATTGACAGGGTGACTATTGATGACTGTACTATAAAACATTTAACAACAAAACTTTTATGGAAATTCATTCATCTTTTTATGGATTCACGGATCCTTTATGAATGAATGACCACTATAGATAAATCAAACATATTGCACCGTTCTATGATTTGCTATTCAGTTTACGTTTTACCTATGGTACTTGAAGTTCGTTTAATTTCGTTTTACTTCGGTTGACCCGAAAAAATTTCAATTAGCTACAATTGTTAGTTTTAGTTATGCAACCCATTTTACATACGTACTTGCTGTTTAGCGGTACATGCAGGAGCTTTTCTTTGAATATGGTATTGCTAAAAGCATTTGATTGTTTTTGAAAATACTTTGGGAGATAAAGCCCAAGGTAGTTAAAATTATCAAAAATCCTGCAAACAATTGGTCCTTAATTTCGTTTTCTTTTAACATTCAATAAAAGGAAAACTAAAGAACGCATATTTTTTGTTCCAGTTTGATTATTTGAATTTTCTCATTTTCTACGAATTACAATAAAATGAAATGGTATTTAGGTAGTAGAAAGAAAGAAAAAAACATCTATTTTTATAAACAAAAAATTAATCTCAAAATGCTCATCGTTAGTTAGAAAATTGGAAACTAACAAAAAACTTTTAATTTAGCTTTATCGTCGTTTCAGCTTCCGATGATGATTGAATGAAACATAACGTTATTAGAAACACGCACATTATTTATTGATCATCATCATCTAAAGACAAAAAGGACACTAACAAAATGAACAATAAAGTAATGAATAACGATAATGGGGCCCAAAGTTGAAATAACTGTTTTGTAAAAATTCTGAAAAGTTACTAAATCAAAAAATCCAGTAACGTTGTTACGTTTTTCCTTGACAAATAAACTCACCTAATAACAGTTATTCCAACCATTTGTTTATTATTTGCACATTTATCTTGCACTTTGTACTTCTACCCTTTTTTACACATTTTTTTCAAATAGATTAAGAATGAACACTTTTCATCTTAAAAATCTAATTAAAAAAGGTAGATTTCCTGGCAGCTTTTTGCGCGCTGATTGTTTTTTCTAATCATAATTGAATCTACTATTTTGTAGAGCAAAAGTGAAACAATCAATTGCTACAACTAAACACCTATATATGCGACTTCTTAAGATCATCTGATTTTGCTTTTCTTAAAGAAAAAATTATTATAGATGATAATATTTTCATTTATTTTTAGAAACATAATACCATCATTAATTTTATAAGTATAACATCTTATCTAATCGTTAGTTAAATAAATCAAATTTGGCGCTTTTTAAACATAAATTTTGCTAATATTCACGATTATTTTTTTTAATTCACCACCGAGCTTTTGTTAACACATAACGGTACTTAAGGCGTTAAAATATTGTTTGAACAATTGCTATTTTTATTATGACGGTTAATTACATTACTTATTCGAAACAACTTTTACGAGTTATTAATTGCTATTTGGTAATTGAAAAATTTAATTACTTTTCTATTTTGCTTTAACTCTTGTAAGTATAAAAAATAGTTTGCTTAATATCTTTTACCGTAACGGACTGCTTTAATCAACAAAAGATGTAGGTATTTATCATTGTAAGTTCTCTGTGAAGAAGCAGGACGTACCATTCTTTCATATTCTTTTTTAAGTATAGGATTTAAAGTTTATAATAATTTTGTATCGAGTTCCGTTAAAGATATAAATCTAATGTATTTTTGTACTTAAGTAAATTGATACTCAAAAAAAACAAAACGATATGATTAGAATTAAAGTTGCAGCTTTTACAGAGTGAATCAGAAACATTCCCTACTATAGCCACTGACTATTCCAAGAAATTGGGGGTAAAATTGATTCTTTTTGAAGTTAAGTACTGACATGACATGCATTGGCCGTAAATTATTTATTCATTCATGAGAAAAAACTAGTAAAAAATTCATTCATTGTTTCTAAGTATCTGTTTGAGTCGTTTGAAAAAAAAAAAAATGTTTGAACTGAAATATTTTCTAACGTAAACACCCGGTCTAACTTTTGGATATAGATGAGCGCAAATATTAAGTTGAAAGATTAAAAAAAGTAACACAGCAAGTGGGCAGAAAATTCCTCCAACCAACACTCTGGTGCAAAGCTGGAGGGTAAAGCGGTAGACTCTCTTTAGTCTCCCTTTTGAAAACATGAGAATGGATGGGTAATAGTGCTTGGGGAGGAACAGCTGAGATAGATGCAATGAAGTTAGAAAAGAAATTAAAGATTCTATGTACAATATTATTGCTTCAAAAATTGCATATATGATCCAAACAGATCTCAGAAAAGACCAGGAAACTTTTCTATTGTTTTCTTGGATCATTTAGGATAATTCTGGGGCACTAATAATATTATACACTTAATCGTTAATTTCTTTTCTGTCTTCATTACTTACGTCTCACCTGTGTCTCTTCACCCTAAAATGAGACCAAAAAGGGCCTTCAGCCCTATTCTCCACATTTGCAAGTCTTTTTTCTAGCTTGCCCAAAAAGTCATAAAAGTATGATCATTTTTTTCTTTAATTCCTATACATATTCGTATTTATGTAAACAGTAAATGGTACTAATTCATACTGTAATTCGTGAAAATACCTTATAGTCGTCTACTTTTTGCCTAATTATTCATTTAATTGATTTAACAGCTAAACATTTTTGATTCCTAAACAAAAATATAGAACAGTCTAATTCTGTTAAAAGAAGTCAATTATTCTTAAATAAGTTTGTGATAAAAAACTAGTACGTTTATTTCTTTTAAATAATGGTCCAGATATATCCGATAAATTATGGAAGTGAATTTTATGTTTCGCGATGCTTATAGGGGACGAATTTAGTAATCTAGTACAACACAACGAAGCATTGAATTTGATCAAAATCGAAAATACAGAAAGCACAACAGATTTACAAAAGAGTTACTTTATTCAAAGTGTAAACGAAACTTTCGTCAGTTGCATGAAAGTTGGCCGCCCGTACTCAAATACATACATATACATATATATATAAATATCTTTTTATATCACACGTGAATCCATAATAAAATTACACTCAACAATAAATAATTTAGCAATTGACTAAGAAGAAGGGAAAAAAAATAAGGAGAACGTTTGCAAAATATATAGGTACCTATTACATATACACCTGTATATATACATACAAATTTCATAAGAGCGATCGGACTGCGCCCCCTTCGCTTGCAACTGCCGGACGTTTCCGGTCACTTACATAAAATCTATTATATCTACAAATGAAAATAATACATAAAAACGGTAAAATTATCTTGTACGTACTGCACGAGTACGTACCCACCGCAAGAGTCGTCAGTATAAGGGGAAGTTTGAATATGAGGGGGACAGTGGACACTAAAAACAGAAGTTCTTGGGCATGGAGCATGTAAAATAGATTATTTTGACAAAAAAAAAAGACACGTCCAAAATGGTACATATGTAAACAATAACTAAAAACAACCTCTATCATGTGTTCACTACTATAAACGAGAAAATATTAAAAGTTATGCAAGACAAAAGCAAAAAATTTGACGTCTGTTATGTATGTAGAAAGTGGATTATTTCTTTCGAGTTTAAAGAATTTACGTAAAACTTATATTTCGCTTTTTTACTTATTGTTGTTCTTACTATATTATTTATTTATTTATTTATTCATTTGTTAAGAAAAAAATCAATCGGAATTTTATTTTATGTTGGATGAAAGGCAAAGTAGGTCGGTACAATAATTTTTTAAAGCTTCAAATATGCATACGTATGGCGAGTGCGAATTTTCCAAGGATCGATGACGATTAAGAGAAGGGGGGGGGGGAGGACAAGGGAAGTTACTAGTAACGCCATGTGCGCATATGTGTCTTCAATTTCGTGAAATAGCTGTACATATATATAAAAAAGAAAAAAATAATAAGAAGGCAGGTAAGTATAAGTGTGGTGACAAAAATGGTGTCTGTTTGTACGGTAAGTAGAAGAAAAAAGAGGAGAGGGAACAGATGAACGCATAAAAACCACAAGAAGACGAAGATTGGGAGGAATAGTGAACGGAGGATGTTGTTTCAGTTTACTTTAAAGCTTTAGGACGATGGATAATAGATCACGTCAGGTACCTAGTGAGCCAATACCAAAGCGACCGATTTGTTTGTTTTTATTCGCATGTCGTCAAGGTTGTAGTTGTCCATTTAATTTTTTTGTGAATGAAAGCAGCGCACTGTCAGTTGATGCGGCCAGGTACTGGACTGCAAGGCGACAATGACTTACATACTACATCACTTCATTTGCTACCTAAAATACAAAGTAAAAATAAAAAAAAAAACAATTCTGACCAGCAAAATATCCGACATTCAAGTTGTTAGCTAGGGTTCGCATCCAGATTTATTTTATAGACTTCAAATAGTTTTCATTTTCTCTTAAAAAAGGCCCTAATGATTACCCTTTTTTGTATGTCAGTCGATGAGGGACAACTTCTAGAGGTAAAATTATTCAACAAAGGGGGAAAATTGTTGTAAAAATGAGGGCAATTTCGAAAAACGAGGCAAAAAGGAGAGCTAAGGCGAAAATTGAAAGTTACTCTATTCTTATTCTCAAACTGAACTAAAAATTCATTAGACAAATAAGGCATTAAACGTTTAACTGATAGCTAACTCTAGTAATAATTGATACTGACTTACCTATGACCGATGATTCCGTTTACTGGCGCCGTTATCGTGGGCACCATTTCAAGTTCGACCAGCAGGGGAAAATGGTCGGAGAAAACGTGAGGATGGGGACAACCGACGATCTTGTTATCCCGCAACCAGTCCGGCGACAGGGGCCCCAGAAGACCCAGGGGCGTCATTGTACTTTTCGAATAGAAGATGTAGTCGATTATGCCTTTGAAATCGAACCTGCAAAAATACGATTATTAAAAAATAACAGTAAGAAAGGAAAATGGGTAAGTAGTACTACTTACGTGTAATTGGTGTATGGCATGATGTCTTCGCTATACGCAGAAGCGAGCTTGAAGGAATGTGTAAACTCATTGGATTTATCACAGCTTGATATTTTTTCAAGACACTGCTTGTAGCTGAGATCCTTGAAGTCCTTGTGGTCGAGCGAAACGCGACCGGAGGTCAAAAACTCTATAACCCCCGAGTCGGGAAGCGAGTTGAAATCGCCGCACAAGACCATTTGAATGCTGCTCGCGTCGATGTTGATGTTATCGGTCGAGCGCAGCGTTTGCGCCGCCTCATCTAAAATAGCCCTAAGTTCGTAGCTTAGCATCATTGTTTGAATTAACTTTACATCACAGAATTCGGGATCCCAGTGGATGTGCGCGGTGCACACCAGCACTGGCTGTTGAACCAGCGGCCCTTCTGAAGGTGCTAAACAAAAAACGACTTATGATCTTTTGGTGTTTCGGCCAGCGGGTGGCTTTGGCTATGATAGAACAAACAAAATTGCTCAAAACCCCAACTGAAGTGAACTGAAGAAGGTAACCTTGTGTACCGAAAAGTGCTTCGGACAACTACAGTGTCGTGTTTTGGCGTTGAGGTTCTGAGCTATTTTGTTTGTTCTACAACAACCGCCAAAGTTTTTCCAATCTTCATATTTGACTATGATCTTTAGAGTTTCGGATTTGCACCGCGTCAAGTCATGACCATTAATATTTTAGAAGAAGAATGTTTTGAAGGAGGACAAAAATAATGTGGTGCAAATACAAGAATCCAAACTGATTTGAGCGTGCATCAAAATCTGATTAAAACGATTGTAATTTTAAACATGCGGAGGGAATTGGCCATGAATTGGACAAGTAAAGATTAATGTAGAAAAGCAAATCAAACAAGTGGAAGGATAATAGTCACGTACCATTCTCCCAGGCCGCTTCTGTCGTCTTCAGCAGTGCAGCAAGACCGATGTTGTCCCTCGGCATCACGCGGTTCAGCATGTGATCTAAACCGTCAGCGTTTGCCATTGCAAGCTGATTAAACTCAACAAGGTGCTCTTTAACTAAAGTGAACCTTAGCAAAAGAAAAAAAAAATGACAAATTACGCATGCAGAATCGCATTAGTTTTTTGAATTGTTTTTCACTAATCGTAAGAGTGCTATGTTATATATTCCAACCCTTTCAGGGCTTAAAATCGCTCTTATTCAAAACCCTTTCATGAACAAGTAAGCGAAGTTCGGTAAACAAATTGTAAGCTCTTTCAAAGTTCTTTAGAGGTAATTGGAGGTCCTTGAATTTTAAAATGCCATTGGGGCATCAAGGGCTAGAGTACTTTAAGTAACGGATTTGAGATTAGTGATTGGAACCCTTTTGGTTATAGCTTTGTGCAGTTGTGGTAATCATTTGGGCGTCGAAAACAGTCCAAAATGTATTAATATAATGATAACATCTGTTTAAGTACTTAATAGGATTTGTTGGTCATTTACTACACACTGACGATGATAAAATATATATTACGTAAAATTAATTGTCATATTACCTCAAAGCTTGGCAAATTTACCATTGCCAAACTATGCCTGATAATATATTTTTCTATACCCTGACTAAATATATGAAGAAACATCAATAATAAATGCGATGTTCTTCATGGTGATCAGGGACCGATTAAAAGTGGTATGGGGTGGAAAATATCTTCTGATTTAATGATGTAGTGCTAATTTTATTAATAATTATCTGTGGCGGCGATTCTGCTCGCTTGGCAATCGCTTGACCGAAAAGCTTCGAGTCTGGTGGTGATATCAAGATAGCAGCGGTGGTGTGGAGGAAATGGTAGTTAAAATTGGTTGAAATTAGTGACCACTGGTCACTGAACATCAGTATATGATAAGTAAAAAAGTACTGTCACGTTCTTGAAAATTTCTAGCGTTATCCTCAGCTGGAATGTTCTCCAATGTCTAGTTAGAATGTTCTAAAGTGAACTGGACCGAAAGAATCGAGAAGTCTTGGAATGCTCCAGGACTATTATGTGTGAGTTGTGGGGCTGGGGTCTGACACTATAAAGGGGCATTTTCCAATGCAACTCCTAGGGAGCTAGAATGCTCTCGAATGTCTCCAGGATTGTCCTAACGATATGGTACAATTTACTAGAATTAACTGGACTAGAAGAGTCGGGAACCAGCTGGAATGTTCGCATTACGGATGAATGAAGGTGATGGATGGGGGATGGCACTGTATTGGGGCATTATATATGTATATATGTATTTCGACCAATGAGTTCTAAAACTTGTTCGGAATTTCGTACAGTTTTCAAGATTCGTTCAGTTTGAAGGAGTTATAATAAGTGACCATGTAAACTCAGCGAAGCGGGTTGTCGTTAACTAGTATGCAAGTAATTACTACAATAATACTTTTCTAAACTACTTACTTTGATGTTCTGTAAAATATAGCGCATCCATCTACGTATTTCCTTTCGCTTTCCGTCATAGTTTTGGCCCGAGATTTTGGCGAGAAAATTCCATCATAACCATCGGCTTTTAGTTCCGGTAAAAAAAAATTGTAAAACTGTTCCATTTCGACTTCTTGGAGATTGATAATGTCGGCCCCGTAATGCCGGATCTCCTCGAGAATGCCCTTCTTCCTGTAATCCCAGTTTAGCGCCCAGCTCGGACAGTAGCTGTACATCTGCCTAGTTGCATATTTATCGCACAACACATTGTAACACATCGTGGTAAATATGCCTGAAATAATAAAAAAAACATATTTTGATTTTTCTTTTTCGGAAAATCTGTCTTAGAAAAATAGATTTTCGTATGAACTTCTCTTTTGTAATTCTAAAAGTAGTCCTAAAAATCCTTGTCAAAACGTGTACCGTTAAAAATATTATTCGGACTTGAAGATCACAAAAAATGGTTTTCAAGAAAACCTCCTTAATGTCACTGTTACCGACAAAACTAAACGAATCATGTACATATATGCATTTTGAACTTGGTTCAAGTATTGGACAGTTTTGATTGCCAATACTTGGTTGCCCAGTATTCGACATAGCTTGGCGAAATGTTAAGAACGAACCTTGAATTTTAAAGATTGGTGCAACATTGATCTAGCATTGATAAACCTACACTTGGCTGCCCAGTACTGGGGGCAAACTTGGCAAAACCTCGTTAATGTCACTGTTACCGACAAAACTAAACGAATCATGTACATAAATGCATTTTGAACTTGGTTCAAGTATTGGACAGTTTTGATTGCCAATACTTGGTTTCCCAGTAATCCTACCCCTGTGACCGAGCATGGCATTTTTGAAGACCCCCATGACGGGTCACATAGAATGGCTACGTTCTCAAAATGTACCAAACATTGGTACTTGAAAATTTGCCAAAAATTGGTCCAGTAACAACAAGTCACTGCTTGGTTTCCTACTAATGGTCTAAGTTTCGGCCATTCGTCAACTCCGATATTTTCTACATGGGCACTGCTGGTTAATTTGCGTGAATAATTAAAGATTAATCGATGTGTTTTTAACTCAAGATCGGACTAGTTATTTACATACCTATTTATTTTTATTTAAGCCAAACGTATCGCAATTATTGGAGTGGAGGAAAGGGGGAATTTCTTAATTACACATAAAATTACATTTCAAGGTGAGATTTTCAATTTCCTTATACCTACATAATAATAATACTAATAATATTCCTTTGTTTTGACCTGCATTTTGTCCTCCGGCATTAATTTGCCCAGTGTACTGTGCACAAACGGTAATTTTGATAACAGTCCATTTTATAGTATATCTACCGGTGGGCAATTAGTGCGTTGTCTACTTGCGGTTGATCGTGCATGTAAATGACCTTAATGGAAGTCTTATTTTTAATGTAGGAAGTCGTTATTCCAATGACGATTGAAATACGCGATTTGTTTTTCGTTGATTGGAAGAACACAAAAACACAAAAAAAATTGTTTGATCAATAAGTTGAGTTTTCCGCAATTCTGTACAAAGAAAGTTGATAAAGAAAATAACTATTTTTGTTATAAGAAATCGGAATAGGAAGACGACAGAAACGTAATTTTGAGAATTGAAGGAAATATAAATTGTTTTTTCTGGGCAACTTTATAAAATGATTGGAACTGCTAAAACATTCGTTGGCTTTTTGGGATGCTCACACTAGCGCGGATCACTTCATCCAAATATATTTTTTTAAATGTATAATGTGTATATTAGGGTGCTTCAAACAAAATTTTTATTTTTTTTTTCTAACTCTTGCCCCCTCACATGTTTCTATTTGATGTAAAAAAAATCCTCGCCAAACATGAGCCCTATAGCTCAAATCTAAGGGGTCGCTATTTTCATTTTAGTTTCCCATTTAATTAACATAGGAAAAATTCTTTTTTTTTTCTTAAATTGAATTTACACATAATTTACGCAATTTTTTTCCAAAAAACCGTTTCATATTCTCAAAGTTGAGTCTTTGAGCTTTACAAAACTCTAAGACAAAGTATGATTATCTTTACAAAAAGACTAGTTACAGCCACTTAAAAATTACTAAATTTTGAAATTTGAAAAAATAGCTTGCAATTATNCACTATGCTTGGCATGGGTGCAATTCTGATAGCGGACTTTTTGTGACCTTTTTAAGGTGTACAATACTGTAGTATATTATTTTGATCTATCTCGTAGGATTCAGACAGCGTTTGCAATGTAAGCGCAAAAAAATGTATTTATTTACGACATCACATTACAAACCTCTAAAATTATCAGTGTTTCTCTACTATATTATTCATGTATTGTACCTATAAACCTTCCTCTTGAATTACTCTATCTATTACAAAAAAATCGAATTAAAATCCATTACGTAGTTTTAAAGATCTAAGCATAAGAAACGTTAGAAGAGCTAAACATATTTTTTTTTGAAGTTTCGACCTGAAACTTGAAATATAGGCTTGTAACTAAAAAATTGCGACTTGTAAATTCAAAATATCTAAAATCGAAATTCTGAGTTTAAACTGAAGCTACTAATACCTATCAGTATTGTGACGATTCTTGTCTGCATTTCAGTTGCTTTAGGTTGATAAATTAGTAAAGGTTTTCGCGACCAATAGGTGAACTGATGTTGTTCTGATTTGGGTCTAACGACCGTCATCGGTTGGAGTTGCTGTGCTTTAGGTTGGGTTAGGCTTGAGTAAGATTAGGTGTTGTTCAATCCTATAGGTAAAAGAATGTACCCACTTCGTTCGTAGTCAAATCCTTTCTTATTCAAAAATAGTTACTAATTTTATGATGCCATAGCACTGGGGTGGTAAAGGGGACATTGGTAAACCCCTAATAAATTAAATTGAGTCAATTATCAGCGAAAATATTAAAAATTTTATCAATTTTTGGACAAGGTTCGAACCAATTAGATTTTCAGGATTTGGAGCTTTTTAGAAGTTGTAAACGCGTAAAATTGTTTACAATAGAATTGCAATTTATTTTATCAATAGATGTAACGCCACTGGATCTTATAAGTGCAAACAGCAGCGTAGCAAACGAGCTTTGAATATGCCGCGAGGGATTCCGCACAATAGATGACGCATCGATCGCATGACGTATTCATTTGTCTTCCGCCTCATTGCTGTGCCACCCTCGATATTTCCACCGCTGGAGACGGCGAGCGGGTGACCGCCGGCGCGACGATGAGACAGTTTATTTCGAGTTCATTCAAGTAACATTAAACCGAAGAAAAGTTATTAAATCTGAACCACGGGAAAGTTATTGGTTTTCACATTTTCACAGATTGGTCACCGAAGTTCGATTACGATTAACTGAGTAAATAAAATCGTCCTGTCGTCTCGTCGAAGTTGGAGAACTTTTCAAGTACCTAAGATGAACCTACTTCAAACGAAGGAATTTTATGTCTATTCAAGTTCTGATTGATTGGTTCTTTATGGATTTTTGTGAAAAATATGAACCAAATAATCGCAATATTCAGCAGTTTTCATCGCTTTATTTTCCAGTTGTTTGGAAAATTCGTTTTTTTTCCGAAACTTTTGTTGGTTATTTGTAAATTGATGGTCGCAAGTGGTTCATTTTTCTTCGACTTGATTTACAAGTTTCTAACAAAATCCTACCTTTTTATAACCAAGCAAACACTTAAGTTTATCTGGAGTAGTACAGCTCCATTTTTAATAAAAGGATTTCCAGAATCGGTCCAGCAGTTTTCTGATACTTATCTATATACATATATCGAAACGAACAAACTAACATTCTTTTATTTTTCTTTAAACAATGTAGCGTTTTGTCTTCTTAATAAAATGGAAAACAAAACACTTAAAATTGAGTATTACTTTGAGTTTGTAAGCAGCAACATCAAACATAGACCTGGACAAAAAGGATCGAACAATAAATCTTCTGCATATTTCCATCCTACATTCATCTACTTGTTATAGACAGATTTTCAGGAAGATTTTGTATCTTTTTCGAAAGAAGTTAACTTTAATGACTTTCTCAGTTTCATTCTATATTTATTCTCTCCATTTTTAAGCCGAAGAAACTTATGAAAGCATCTCAGAAAGCGTTTCTGCGATGACCTTTCGAAGCACAACTTCTAACTTATTTAATATGTAATATTTTAGTGCACGTATTTGACAGTTCGAATAAGGAACTTTGAACATTCATTATTAATAAATGTAATTCATATATGTTTTTGTGTTCTTTGTGAGTATAGTAAATTGAGAAAGTTCAAGGGAGAATCCTAGCTTTGTTTTCGTATAGAACGGTTTTAAATTATCAAGTCATACATTTCTACTTTACTAATGTACTAACTACTTATTGTTATTGACATTCTAAATCAGTTTTGCTGGAAAAAGATGTTATAGAAAGCATTATCAGATTTTCCTGGTTGACTACTTTTTATGCGTTCTCTTCTCAATGACGAATCACGTCTAATAAGGGACTTAATGGACACCCCAAGAGACGAGCGGTCAAATAGAACCAGACAGGAGCTTTTAGCTTTTTAGGGTGCCGCGGGAAAGAAATGGGGAGGAGGGTTGTCGATGATTATGGATGGAATATATACATGCATATATATATATATATACGTTCTATACCGTCGTACGTATTGCCGTTGTTAGCAACGCCACTAACGATGAACACGACGATAATAGTAATAACGATGCTTTTTCGCGATAGGAGACTGCATTTAAAGCCTGTCATTAACATTTCGAACTGAGAGGAGGAAGATATAAAATGATGTGTTCAGGTTTTCGGTATTTTGAAATTAAACTGCCATGTTTTATCTAATAAAGGTTTTTTACTCTACCGTACCTCCAAGCCATTAGTTCATATACATTTAAAGCTTCGAGACACATACTAAATCCTTTTTATAGTACGGAAACCTGCATTAAATGTTGGCTAACTAACAAAAGAAAGACGCTGCACCCCGTTGCACTCGTGCTCTATGTGTTGGGGTCGAATTCTGCACTCAAGTAAAGGAGTTTTTCTTACTACATTTTTGTGCGATTCCTCAACCAAAAGGTTTTGTAACAGTGTTGATCCAAAATCCAAAATAATTCAAATGTAACTGATTAGCGGAACCTTGATTACTTTTCCACGGAACCCACATTATGAATCGCAGCTCTAGACACGACGTTTCTAACTTCACTAGTTGCTACTCACTTAATTTTACCTATTGAAATACCTTAGTACAGCCCATTTCAATTTGTTAGAATTGTGACCTTGAAGAAATCTGCGCGAAGATAGAAAGAATACACACTAGGCGTGAGCAAGACAGAAATAATTGAAACGAGCTTGAACGAGCAGACCTCTCGATGGGTGGTCTTAGGAGATCGGCTAGAACTGTACAGTGCTAGACGAAACTGTTTAGCAATTTCTTAAAACAAAAATGTATATAAATTAACAATAGAAAACAACAAAGCAAAAGTTTTATAGGTGTGTAGAGCGTTAAGTTAATTCACTTGTTACTATTTTTGGCTAAATATGCTTTTAAATAAAGCATATTCTTAAATTTTAAGAAGGCAGTTTAAATAATTTTGCAAATGGTACTGTACACTTTCGTCTAGTTCTCGCTCGATGATCGGTGGAGAAATGAGCTCCGCAGACAAATATGATCGAATTTGGAATTATGCTACGGCGCATCCTAATAAAGGGAAAGGGCATATCTCCAACTTCTTGAAACGAAGAGTACTTTAAACTTCCAATTCTCCGTTCTTTTCGTATTTATAATCAGTGAAAAATCAGAGCTAACGAGAGTTAGTTATTTATTTACAAAAAAAAAAACAACCGCTAATATTTCACCCTAAGTTGTTGGGTTATCTCATAACTAGTTTTCTTCATTAACTTAAAAAAACAGCCTTGAGAAATCAGACAACATAAGGCGAAACGTTGGCAGTTGTTCTTTAAAAAAAAATTTTTTTCCCTTTTGACTTTGATTTCACCCTATATCATTTTTATACGTTTACACACAATAACTTTTTCTTTTGTTTTAAGTAAAGCAAACCGGAAAGAACACGTTGTATTACGAAGTGTCTTGTGCTGGTGAATTTTTCTGTAAGTCTTTAATTAACATTTTAATTATAAAGAATGTTCGCACTTAGAATTCCGAACGATTGAATGTAATTATTACGCCTATTAATAGCGCTATTGGCAAACGAATTGGTTTATTCATTACATAAACTATGAATAGGTGATAAAATTCATAGATCGGAAAATTAATAAAGAATAGAAAAATTAATCCGATGGAAATGCCTGAATACGTTAATTATTATTAATTAAATTCGGTAAGCGAGAACAAAATGTGAAAGGTAATAAACATAAAATTTCATACTTTAAAGCGTATAGACCAGTCTCAACGGGAGACGTCAAACACAGATTTTCCGAAAAATATCTACTTAACTGCTGTAGATAGGCTAAAAACATGTAGGTATTATTAATACAATTCAGAAAAAAAGGAAGGACCTATTGACATTTTCTCCAGGATGAGTTAAAGTCGCGAGAACACTGGGATTTATATCGTAAATACAGATCTATCCATTCCAATGACTTTTTTCTTCAATAATTATTTTGTATACGTCAAAAAAAGAATTTCCACATTATGGCGTTTACCCTTCTGTGGTTAGATAGTTGCGGGCTTCTTTGCCAACAAATTTTGAACCTTTATCTGTTGGTGGAAGTGCTTCATTAGTTTTTTTGGTAATAGAGGCATTAAATTGTGTTGATAGTTATTGAAATGGGGGCACCTGTACCAATCATCGTCATAAGGTCGTCAGTCCGAAGACTGGTTGGACACGTACCTCCACTCTTTCCTCTTATCCTGAGCTAAACTTCGCATTTCCCTAAAACTAGAACAGCCCACATCCTTAACTATTTGCGAACAGTAATCTAATCTAGGTCTACCTCTACCCCTCCTAACTCCTGTTTCTGCCTCTAATATGTCTCTGACTAGACCTTCATGCCTGAGAAGGTGTCCTACCAACCTATCTCGCCTATTTCTTATTGACTTCCATAGAGTCCTCTGTTCTCCTATTCTTTCTAATACCTCTTCATTTCTAACCTTTTCTACCCACGTTATCCTCATCATTCGCCTATAACCTGTACCAATATTCACAAAAATTGCTTCTTGAATATTACTGATAACAACTGTTTTTAGCGTATCTGTAGTGGTTTAGAAAAACACTTTTTGAAGTCCCTTGCGAAAAATAGAGCAGAACGTAGATATCGGCGGGAAGGAAACTACATTTTAAAGTGAAAGCGAATCGATTAAAGCAATTTTCAGATTTCTCGGTAAATTTTCCGAATTCCATTCCCTAACGACTAACCTATTAAAAAAATAACGAGGGAGGTTTTAATGAATATATACAGAGTTCAACGGAACGTTTTCTTTACTGTCACTATCGCAAAACTCGCAATTTCGATCGCGTTTTGGCATTTGGACTTTAGGGTGCTATTAATTACGGGGATGATTGAAATACATTGAAAAGATCCTTAAAGGTGAAGTGACCCATGCATATTTATTAAATCAGAATGTCGAGGGGTTAAAAACAAGTAGAAACTTTTATGCGATAATTTGAAGCTGGTCTTTAAGTGATCTTGGATTCTTGCTTTCAAAATCAATGTTGATGTCACCATGACGTTCTTTCACTCAAATCCTACAGAAAGGACATTTTAGCAACTTGCCTTTTAAGGATTAATAAAGTCGACCACTTATTTTTTTTTAATAAAAGGTACACTATGTCCTTTTCTTTACCCCTGGCATTGTGGGTAAATTTCATGATAGGTTTTACCCAAGGTTTCGCTCACGTTAGTGACCTAAACACGTGTTAATGATCTTGGACGATCACATAAAACTAATTTTTCTATCCCTCGGGAACAGTACTCTTTTTCTGGATAAAAGGTACCTTATGTCCTTTTCTGTACCCTCGACATTGTGTATACAAAATTTCAAGATGACCGGTTGATTAATTAAGGCGTGAAATAGTAGCAAACAAACAAACTCTCGTTCGCATTTATATTAGTTAGAATTTGTTGAAAACCGAAAGAGGCTTCATTCGCCTTTTTGAGACCCTTCCCTTCACATTAATATTTCACGCCCTAAACTTTAAATATCCTTTACGTCCATGTACAAACGATTTATTCAAAAGTTGTGTATGCAATTTTGTTTGAAATGTTTTACACTTACATGTCGGACGATTTCTGGAAGGCCTTGTCAGTGGAATCCATGGTCTCTGTGGCGGGGCTGGGGCTGTTACTGCAAAGAAAGGACACAATTTAGTTATTTAGGAAGATCCTTACGTGTACGTACATATATTAATAGTACTCTTAATACCTTTCATTTCAACAATAAATAAATAGGTGCAGACAACCAGGAAACTCTTTAAACAAGTTTTATAGCAACGTTTAAGTGATACAACGGTCGCGTCTCGTTTGTATAAATTCATAAAATATGTATCTAAAATTTCAAGTTTTGTAAAGTACTGAAAGGTTGCTTAAAAATACGTTGAGAAACGGAACGCACGTTTTTCAGATAAAATTTAAGGCCCAGTTTTATTATTCGCTTCAATAAATTACATACTTGCGAGGTAAATGGGTAAATAACCTTTAACAGAATTTCATTTTTCGACAGATAGAATTTCTTGCATTACATACAGTTCGGTGGCTGTATGTAGTCAGCAACTATGTACGTATGTATTAAATATTATACGTAGAATATACGCAATAGTAATTCATGTACGTATTTGCTTGGACCACATAATAATGGCACTTTTTGTAATCACTTATACTTGACCTGAAATTGAGTTTGTGGCACGCTTTGCAACTAGATACAGCGTATCATTAATCGCCTGCTCAATAATTCAGCCTTCGCAACGAATTGTCGTAACAGCGATTTCGTTTTTGGTTTTTAAAAATTATATCATCATCATAAGGTCGTCAGTCCTAAGACTGGTTGGACACGTACCTCCACTCTTTTCTATCCTGAGGTAATCTTCGCATTTCCCTAAAACTAGAACAACCCACATCCTTAACTATTTGCGAACGGTTATCTAATCTAGGTCTACCTCTACCCCTCCTAACTTCCGTTTCTGCCTCTAATATGTCTCTGACTAGACCTTCATGCCTGAGAAGGTGTCCTACTAACCTATCTGGCTTATTTCTTATTAACCTCCATAGAGTCCTCTGTGCTCCTACTCTTTCTAATACCTCTTGATTTCTAACCTTCTCTATCCACGGTATCCTCATCATTCGTCTGTAACATCACATTTCGAACGCTTCTAACCTTTTCTTTTTCGCACCCGTACAACACCGTGCTCCAAACATACACCTTCAACAAACTTTTTCGAATTTCTAAATTAATCGTTCGCGAGCATAGAAGTGACTTCTGTTTATTGAAGGCGACTCGAACCTGCGCTATCCTCTGCTTTATATCCCTACTACATACTCCTTCCGTCCTGACTAAAACCAGGATCGGAAGGAAAAAGTTTACTTAATAGCAAAACACCGACGTTTCGTCTATTGGTGTAAATCTTTATCATCAAAAACGATTCAGAAATTTAAGTGTTGTCATGCTAACCTCTGTCAATTAATGCAGGGTGTTTCTGAAGTAAATGGGGATTTTACAGAAGACGATTTGTAGTGGTTAAGGTTAACTCAAAAATTTAATGTAGTAGGTAAAATTAATTCAAAAGTTAATTTACTAATACCTACAAAAATTCTTTTAAAATGTTGTCTCGTTTACTTTTGCTGACCGGATTTCTCTATATCTTCTTGGTAAATTCGTTCCTTGGTGTAACGTGTTACACCATTGCTCCCTAGAATTCTACTGATGTCTTTTGTGCATGTACTCCTTGGTCCTCCTTTTGCTTTTTAATTACATTATTTCACTTTCCCATACTTTCTTTACTTGTCTCTCTCTCTCTCTACTCATTCCACTCGAAGTCCGAACCACCTGAACTGGTCTTGTTCTACAATGGTAGGTATTAGACTAATTCCTAGTTCCTGACGAACTTCCACGTTGCTTATTCTGACTAATTTTGTGATTCGTAGTACTTCCCCGAAATATTTCATTTCCACTGCTTATAGTTTACCTTTTTGGCTTACGGATAAAACCCATACACTATCTAAACGTCTATCTTTGCTATCTTGGACATTTCTCCTTTCATAATAAAGTTTCTATTTAGATCACCGAATACTTTTGCAGCTGCTGTTGTTCTTTAGCTGATTTCTGCTTATCTTAATATTATTAAGTGTAGAACCTACAAATACGTATTCAATTTATCTGACCTGTTCCGTCTATTTAAGAAAGAAAACATTATCTTTCGTTAATTTCACTGATTCAATAATTAGTTCAGTTAATACTCACTAATGTGCAGTGCTGTTATTATAACTGTAAAGATTAGAGAATATTCACTTAAAATTAGTGAAAAATCACCCATGCATTTAATTTTATAAAAAAACAAACACCGTAGGTTTAACGGTCCAGTCGTTTGTAGTATTTGAAATTAAATGCAGTAAATTGAGGAGAGGCTGCAAACGGTGTTCCTGTAGCAGGTTACAAATGCTCTTCGTGTAATCATCTATTTGTCGTTAATAAGGTGCCTTGTCCTAGGTCTAATTAGCGTACGTAGATACGTGACGCCGATGGGAGACGGTCGTTGTTTAGGTCGAACAGTCAAATGGGACACGGGACAGTCTTTTTTTTTTACAAGTCACTGATCACGAAATGCATCCGGCGAACCGTTAGAATTTTTTTTACTTAATTCAAATAAAAATTAGACGAAATCTTCAGTAGATTAAGCAGCTCTACAGACTAAAAAAACAATAATAATGAAGATAGAAAAGTTTAGATGTGACAACTATTTTGCTTGCATGTGTTTTCGCTAGTCTTCGGTTTTTGCCTATTCCAAAAAATGGATCAAAAAATCTCTATCAAATTTTGTGTGAAAAACAATGTTGACTGTGACATATGGTGTAGCTACCTTGGACCCAACTAACGTTTATCGGTGGTAGAAAATGTTTTTAGAGGGTCGAGAAGATGTGAACGACGAAGAACGAGCCGGATGCTCGAGCACGTCAACAACAGATGAAAACATTGATGAAGTGAAGAAAATAGTATTGGACATTCGTCGAATTACCGTTAGAGAAGTTGCTGCGGACTTACATATATCGATTGGCTCCTGCTATTCGATTTTTACCAATGATTTGGGCTCGAGACGGGTCGCCGCGAAATTCGTACCAAAATTGCTCAATTTCGACCAAAAACNGATGTGACAACTATTTTGCTTGCATGTGTTTTCGCTAGTCTTCGGTTTTTGCCTATTCCAAAAAATGGATCAAAAAATCTCTATCAAATTTTGTGTGAAAAACAATGTTGACTGTGACATATGGTGTAGCTACCTTGGACCCAACTAACGTTTATCGGTGGTAGAAAATGTTTTTAGAGGGTCGAGAAGATGTGAACAACGAAGAACGAGCCGGATGCTCGAGCACGTCAACAACAGATGAAAACATTGATGAAGTGAAGAAAATAGTATTGGCCATTCGTCGAATTACCCTTTGAGAAGTTGCTGAGGACCTAAACATATCGATTGGCTCCTGCTATTCGATTTTTACCAATGATTAGGGCATGAGACGGGTCGCCGCGAAATTCGTATCAAAATTGCTCAATTTCGACCAAAAACAGCATCGCATCCCGTAAGAAAATTTTCCATTGAACTTTAATGGGAATCAATGGAAAATTTGTAAGTTCCATTCAAAACCCTTTGGCATAAATGGAAAAATAATTGCTTCCATTTACAATATAATTCCTGGCCACATATACTATTAGCCTTTTTCGATACAGTTTTTGCTTGCCCAGGTGCAAGAGTAGTGATATTGCCCATTAGGTGGTGGAAAATCAATAATCTAGTTTTACCTATGCGTGCATGTTGGGGGTACGTAAGGGACCACCACGGCAGTAGAGTGAGAGACAAGCAAGGTAGTAAGACGTCTGATTAAAACGGTATATTTCATTTAGACGTTGAGCATTTTTGCTCAAAAAAGACAGAAGACGTATTTATGGTGATTACACGAAGACGTATGTATTTTGGAAGACGCGATACATTGAATACTGTATATAAGTTGTATAAGTATATTTAGTTTCTGTTTGTTACTCGTTTTGCTGTTTGCTGTTTATATTCATTATTATGTTTATTATATATGTATTCAACTACCCGGAGCCTTTTATTAAACAACCCCTAGACAAGTGAAAAAGCCTACATTAGAAGCATTGTTTGATGATTTTGAACCATGCCAGAATATAGAGGAGGCCGAAGTCATCTGTGAGAGTGATGTAGTTTTATCAGAAGCAAGTGAAAAAAAATCTAAACACAATGATGAAGAGCCAGACATCCAGGCACGTGCCTTGGTTCAGGTACCTGAAGAACCAAATTCTCAACAAAATAATATGGATTATGGAAAAAAGCATGCTGATGAAGTTCCAATGGAACGCAATGGGATTTCCATTGAGTTCAGCAATGGAATTTCCATTGCGTTCAGCAATGGTAATGCCATTGCGTTCAGCAATGGAAATCCCATTGAGTTCGGGAATGGGAATCCCATTGGCAATTCTCCATTTATTACCATTAATTATTATCAGTGGTAATTAAATGGCATTATTTTAATGGAAATTGAATGGAAATTTTTCCTACGGGATTAACATTGCTAAGGAGTTATTGGACTCTGTCCGCGACGACCCAAATTTGCTGCAGAGGGTCATAACTGGTTACAAATCATGGGTTTATGGTTATGACGTGGAAACCAAAGCTCAATCATCCCAGTGGAAGCTGTCGCACGAACCAAGACAGAATAAAGCGCGCTAAGTTAGGTCGAACGTGAAGGTTTTGCTTACAGTTTTCTTCGTTTGCAGGGGCGTAGTGCATCATGAGTTCTTGCCACAGGGTAGAACGGTCAGTAAGGAATATTACCTGCAAGTTATGAGCAATTTACGAGAAGGAATCCGCCAGAAACGCCCGGATTTGTGGAATAAAAAAAATTGGTTTTTACACCATGATTACGTCTCTGCTCACAAATCGTTGCTTGTGCGCGATTTTTTTGCCAAAAACGACACACTAATATGTCCCAGTCACCGTATTCCCCAGATCTGGCCCCCAGTGACTTTTTCTTGTTCCCGAAGCTGAAGAGCCCCATGAGAGGACGACGCTCAACTGCAGTTGAACTTTTGAAATAGACCTCGTACATTCATTAAATTTTTTT